CTTAGCTTGCTAAGAAGTAAGTTTCTAGGTTGGGGATGTGGCTCAGCAGTGGAGCACTTGCCTGGTTATGCACAAGGCCTTGGCTAGGTTCAGTCCCCAATACCGCAAAAACAACTATGTAAAAAAGTAAGTAGATTCCTGTTCTCTTTTTGTTCTGTGTGAATCTCCCACAGTCTTCAGAAGCTCATGGAACATAGTAGTGAATGATAATAAGAGAAACAAAGGTTTTCTGTATTAAAGAGTTAAATTAGTAGGTAATGAAATAATGTAGTTTGGAACTATTTTTTCATTTGGTTTAAAACAACAGAAAAGAAGAAATAGTCTGATACATATTTGCTGATCAGATAATTACATGCATAGAAAATTCAGAAGATTCAGATTTTGTTTTAAAACCCATTCCATTTTATAAGATAGTTTGGATGGTGCTGAATATGTGATCATTATAAAAAGTAGCTCTTTTTTTTTTTTCTTTAGGCATGTCTACTTAAACATAGAAATGAAATTATTTCTCACTAGTAAAATTCTAAAGTGTGTTGGAATAATGAAGTCTTAGGATCTGTATAAAATAGATTATATTGAAAATCTGGACAGTTAAATACATTTGTAGAAATGAATAAATATGTAGAATAGTAAAAATGAAAATGATCCCAAAATTAAAATATACATTTAATGTGATTTCAATTATAAACATTTCTAAATCCATTTGCTCATTTTTGTGCCTTTTATGTCATGCAGTCATTCGTTTATTCTGAAGTGATTAGATTATTTTAAAGACATTACAGAAGAAAAAATCTGAATAACTAAGAAAACTGAGAAGGAGTGGTGTTAGGACAAGTCTTACCAGATACCAGAATATGTGATAGAACCAGTGTAATTATCAGTATAGTATTTTAGTAGATAATGATTGTTGGAAAGAAGAGAGACTTCAGAAATAACTTCTGAGCAAGAGGCAATGGTAATAACTTAAGTCAGTGGGGTAAAAGTTGGGATATTACAAACTTCTGACAAAAAAATAAAGTAAATCCCACTCTTAGGCCATATGTAGAAACGAATGCCAGTAAATTAAAGTCTTGAAAAGAATCATAGCATTAGAAGGTAATGAAGCTATTTTCTGGGAGCCCAAGAAATGACTTTCTAAAATGCACCTGGAAATCCAAATGCCATAAAAGAAGATTGGTGGTGGTAGAGAGAACATAAATGAAGCTAATATTAATAAATTTTAGGAAAGAAAGTTCTGTTGATAAGACAAAAGTTGATCTCTCTACAGTAAGTACAAGACACCCTATTTGAGCAGTTGGTGGAGAGTGTGCATAAACAGGAAAGCAAATCCATCTGCCAACAAATAAGAAAAGATGCTGACATTTACAGTGATTAAAGTAGTGAAATTTTTTTAAAAATTAGATAGAAAATAACTGTTAGACTATCAAGAAGTGGAGAGCTGTAATTTATTGTTAGCCAAGATAACTAGGAAAGGAATACTTTCAATACATAACCGAGAGGAAAGTGAAACACTTGAGTTTTATTTGGAAAGCTACTAGGTTGTATTAAAGATTAAAAATACATAGATCCAGCAGACCCATTCTTGGGAAACCTGTTCTGTAAAACTATGAGTTCTATGTACCTGTACAAAGATGTCATTTTACTCATCAACCAATGACCCAAACAAAAATGCACCCCCCCCAAAAAAAAGTTAAAACCTGTGCATATAGGAATGACTGAATAAATCATGCGGTCTCCAACCAAGGAGTGTGATGTCATTCTTTAAAAGAATGCATTGAAAGCTGCACAGATTGAGTTGTAGAAACTTACAGGAATTACTATGGAGTGAAAAAAATTAAGACAGGGAAAGATGTATGTAGTATCAAAAAGTTGCCAAACTTTCTGTGTGTTCTATGTGATTATGAAAAGACAGAAAGAAAGAAAACTTAAAAAATACTAGTTCATTGAGATGTGAGTGAAGTGGTTAATGAAGATAAAGAGAAAAGAGCAAAGCAAAGAGGCAAAGGATATAGCACATTTACATATTTAAATTACACTTTATGTGTATAAACAAATGATACAGCATTGAAAAAATTGGAAAGAATCATCCCGTTTATGGTTTATAGTTGAATGTACGAATTTTGTTTACCATTTAGTCCAACCATTCATTGAATGCCTGTTGTATGGAAGACAACATAATGTACATAGTCTGTAATAGAGTGGTACAGAGTTACTATATGAACAGTTAGCACTGGTTGATCGGTTACTGTGTGTGGTACAGCCTGTACTGAAAGCATATGTTTACCTCATTTAGTCCTTGCAACAACCTGATGAAAATAAATTGTCATTTGCTTTTACCTGAGAAGACATGAAAATAAGCCAGCCTATCCCTATATAGGTAAAATATGGAGCCAGGACTTAAGCTTAAACAGGATGACTCCCAAAGCTGTATTATCACTAGGACACACTGCTCTTCCTTAGACTTGTGTGGGTGTAGTGGAAAAGGACCTGAATATAAGCAGGGTATAGAAAGCTGTACAATCAGTGCCATAATCAAAGAACAAACAAAATTTGAGAGCCTGAGAAAAGGAGGGGTTGATCTGATGGCAACATAAAAAGGGTTCCATGTCAGAATTGGTGTTTATTATCGATTGCAGAGGCAATAGCTATTTGATAGGTGGAGAATACACAGCTGTTTTAGACAGGAGAAATTAATTAATTCGACAGGGCCTTGCTCTGTAGTCTAGTCTATCTTTGAACTCACTGTATAGTCCAGGCTGGCCTCGAACTCATGGTTATCCTCCTGCTTCAGACTCCTAAGTTCTGCAATTACAGGTATGGATCACCATGAGCAACAGGATAGAGGAATTTAATTTACCCAGTTGTAAAATGGAGATATGCCTGACAAGTCAGTTGTCTGGTAGGAATGACATGCACATATTGTTGTGTGACCAAATAATAGGAGGTGAGAGTATAATATCCATTAAGGCTTTGTTTTTATGCAAAGTATTCTAGACCTTAGGGAATAATAAACCATTAAGATTTATGACTGAGTAGCGAAATGCTCTGAAAAGAATCAGTTGGGAAGGTAGCTAAAGTTCAAGAAAACATAATAGTTTTCATCTACTCACTCTAGCATCATAGGGTAAATAAGAGAATTTAAGATTTGTCTTCAAAGAGGGGGAGGATGTAATAGCCAAAAGAGAGTTAAACTCTGTTGGTTTTTGAGTTCCTCAACCTACAGAAAGAAATTCATTAAAAGAAAAAATAATGGGTCCTGTGTACAATAGCTTAATGCAGTGTGAATTAGGTAAATTCATTAGAGTTTTGGGTTTCAAACTTGCTTAGGACCAACTCTGTAAACCTATTTTCAACAAAGATAGTGTAGAAAACTGATTATAAAATAGGAAACTGAAAATGTGTTTTTTTCTTTCCTTTTCTTTCTTTTTTGAAACAGACTGTTGTTCTGTAATTCAGGCTACCCTTGGTTTTGTGGCAGTCCTCTTGCCTCAGCCTCCTGAGTGCTAGGATTATAAGCATGTGCCACCATGCTTAGTTTATCCAAAAATTTTAAATATAGTACTTTCCACTTGTCATACTAACAAAATGTACATTACTGGACACAACTTTTAAACTAACTTCTTTCTGTCAGTTTTTAAGCCTTTAGTTAAGTGACATATAATGTTCAGGAAGGATTGCTTTTTCTACTTTTGAAGCCAGGTTCCACAAGTTGATTTAATGCCATTCGTTTTTGGATAAATTTTGAAATTCATTTATGCATTTGTTATATTCTAAATGACTGAAAACCATATTGGTACGGATTTTTATTTTTGTTTTTGTAGTGCTATGAATTGAACAGTGTACCTGCTAAGTAGTCTGCCACTGAGTACATCCCAGGCCAAAAATAATTTTTTGTTTTACATTTGAGTGACATACATGTATGTCATGTATGTCATACACGCATGATGATATTAAAACCTACTTACTAGTTGCATGGAAATTTTATTAACTTCACTGGTAAGAAATCCTTAATCTATTTTTAAAGTGTATTGATGTTAGTGGCTATACATTTGTTTAAAAAGTTAAGGTATTTGAAAAAAGGTAAATGGGTTTTAAACTTTCACAGCTTTATAATTCTTGTCATGTGCTTGTTCCTTTGGGTTTTATCATCAGTAATGGTATACTTTTCCAAAGATAACAAATACATGTCTATGCATCTACCATCTACATATCTACTAGCATATAGTAAAGTGATAGGATTGGCTAACATTTTAAAACGTAGTATTTGAGATCAGTAACATTGAAAATAAAGCTATTATTTCTGAATGATACTGTGAAGAAGATAAACTGTAAAATGTACTACTATGAATAGCATAAGGAGTTTCAGAATGTACTTCCTAACCTTTACCTTACTATGACAGTGATGGGTAACTGCCCAGGCTTAGGTTTGAACTTGTGATCTTTCTGATTCAGCATTCTTAGAGGACTGGGATCGTAGATATGCTATTTTAGTAGTTGTATTCTATTGTACTGCACTTGTTCAAAAGCCAAGTACAGTTAAGAAACACACTAAATGTCCACAAAATGATCTATTTTGCAAATAATGTAAATTTTCTTGCTTTCTTGCAAGAACGTATCTTTAAAATATAAGGAATAATGTTGTGGCTCATTCTGAAGGCCTGGGAGCTCAGTCTGCAGTGCCAAATAAGTAAGGACATACACACATACATACGGGGTTGTGAAACACCGATTCCTTTTTTCCCCAAGTGGCTCGTTTATTATAAGAATACTAAAAAGTGGTCAGTGATAATCTGGAATGTTCTAGGTACTGTAATTATTTATAAAGTGACTATTTTACACTGAATGAAATGGACATTTTTAAAAACTTGTGCATCTACTACCATTTCATGTGGAGATTAAGTATAATGGGAACCTTTTACATGTAGTGGTAACTGTTTATCCTTTCATTGTAACATGATCATCACAAAGTTGATAAATTTATCTTTATTTTTTTTAAACAGATAATCTCAGTGATACCCTAAAGAAATTGAAAATAACAGCTGTTGACAAGACTGAGGATAGTTTGGAAGGATGTCTGGATTGTCTGCTTCAAGCTCTGACTCAAAATAGTAAGTTTTATTGTATTTATTCAAATTCCAAATGAAAAAAAAAGTCTAGTCAGCAGTCTTTAAGAAATGGTTAGAGATGCATATAACTTGCTCACATAACTTGAATACTTTTGAATCCTTTCCCTGAATACTTATATTGTTTTAAATGTTCCATCCTCCTACCTACTTCCCACCCCTAAAGTACTCAAAGCCAAAATGATAGGCAGAGAATGGAGGATTTCATTGTTATACCAGTCCCAGAGATAAGGCCATTATTTCATTCCTAACAGACAAGCATCATAGTTGTTTTTTTTTCAACACCTACATTTGTGCTTTGAAAAAGGACTGCTTACAGTATTACATTGTAGGGAGAGCAGGGAGGAGAGACAGAAGGGGGAGCTGGGAACATTTGACATTTCCCACTGATGTCTTATGATCTACCATTTTAAATAATTTTAATAGTTTAAAAGAATTATGCATCATCTGCAGTCTTCCAAAATCTCCTGAAATTGAGATAAGGTTGATGTTTTGTGTTGTGGTAAATTGAAAGAGACAGAAATCACATACTTCTTCACTAACATATAGCATTTGATACATTGCTGTTTGCTAATTTCTGTCTTATCACAATGAGTATTATAAAATGATTTTCAATTGCTCTTAATTCTGGGCAGTTGTATTTAATTATGCTTGTATTTAATTATGTTATTTTCTTTGTCCTGAAACTGTTGCTGACAAAGATGTTAGGGGAGAATATATATTGTAAAGGTTTTGATTTCAAGGACTCAGAGATGTATGTTATTTCTTTTTTATATAAACTGTGGCAAAAACACCTGAAGTAATCATTTGTGGTACTTTTCATTAATGAAACAAGTTTTTGGTTTTTCTTATGTTTACTTTGAGACAAAGTGTCACTAAATTGCTCATCCTGACCTCAAACTTGTGGTCCTCCTGCCTTGGCCTGCCAAGTAGCTGGAATTACAGGAATGTACCATCTCTAGCTCAGAAAAAGACCACATTTTAAAGTTGGTTTTTAAAATTGTTTTTCAGTAATTCTCTTTGCTTTTGATATAACTGTCAAACTATTTAAGCTTAGTGGAGGAAAAGAAATTTGAAACAAGCAGTTCATTAAGAGCATCTGAATGAGACCTTAAAAAGAAAGTAAAGGTGAAGGGGAGGGGAGGAAAGGGAAGGAAAGGAGAGTGTCTAAGACAGTGTTACACATTGTAGTAGAAACAGGTAGGATTTATATCTAATAACATTAAATATACTTTAAAATGAAGCTTGTTTGTCTCACTTTCAGTTGCCTGGCAATTGGCAGTCTCATTCAGGGTCATAACTCAGCTAGAAAAAAACATATGATAACCTCATACATGTGCCTGTGTAGGCAGCTTTGCATAGCATAATTAGCCTGAATGAATTGAGTATCTCAAGTTTATACTCTTGAAGAGTTTTATTACAACCTTTGTCTTCAGTGAACTCCCTTCCTTCTTGTTAGCAGAATTTGCTTTTTAAATAGACCATTTGCTTTAGACTCATGTTCTTGGTCATGTGGAAGGATACTAGTCCCTCCAGAAAGAGCAGAAGACAGATGAAGAAAGAGGAGGAAGCAAAGGTAGATAGTGTTTTATAGAAGAGTTTCAAGAAATACAGAGAAGTTTATAAGTGTTAGATTTCACTTCAGATCCATTTGGGCTTATATATTGAACCTGTTTTTTGAGCATATTGTTAAAATCATATACCATAAAAATTTCTTTTTTCTTTTTTTTGTGGTGCTAAGATTGAACCTAAGACTCACAGTACCACTGAGCTGTGTCCCAGTCCCAGCTAAATTACAAAGCCAGAAGGCCACATTATTACAGGGTATTCACAGAACCAACAAACTCTGCTTTATTGAATGACTTTCCATGTAGGGAACCGAATAAATGTCTTCTTAACAATCAAAATTTATAAATTCTTCTCATGACTTAAGACTACTGATGCGAAAGGGTATGATAAAGGCAGAGGAGTTTGGGCAGATATATAGACACACTGTATGTCTTTAGAGCACCTTTTGTCTGTTAGCATTAGGATAGGTTACATATCTGTTACCTAATCTTAGCCCCAAAATATGTGTAGTGTCATCATTTAAAGGATGAGGAAACAAATTTATTCAAGTTATTTGCTTTGGTGTGGCAGAATCCAGAATTTGAATTTGAACTCTTAGTTACAAAATAAAAAATTTATATTGTATAAATTGAAGCTTTTTACTACATTAGTGAAATTGTTCTAAGGAGCTAGATTTTTTTTTTATTTTTTTATTTTTTTTTTTTTTGTCTTTTTCCTTTTTATCGGTACCAGGGATCGAACTCATGGCTGCCTGCTTGCAAGGCAGGCACTTTATGCCACTGAGCTAAATACCCAGCCCCAAGGAGCTAGATTTTAATATTGTCTTTTTACTTTTTCTTTAAAAATGTTACAAAATTTTGTTATTAAAGATGAAGGGATGTAGTATACCTTTTTGCTAATTAGCATCTAACTTTTAAACCAGAAAAAAAATAAGAATACACCAGCAGGGATGTGTGTTACCTATAACTATTGTTCAGTAAAATGAGAGGTCCATTTCTTTCCGAAGTCTTAAAGGTAAAATGAAAAAATATTGAACTTATGTAGTCTCTTTAAAGCATCATTATTTGTTTTAGAACTGATGAAAATATTTTGTGCAAATATGAGATGGTAATGTATGTCATCAAAGTCTAAATTTAAAGCTGGGTGTGGTAGCATATGCCTATAATCCCAGGACTCAGGAGAGTGAGGCAGGAAGTATCTTGGGAGTTGGAGGCCAGCCTGGGCTACAAAGTGAACTCCATGCTAACCTGAATTGCATAGCAAGACCTTGTCTCAAAAAGACCAAAACAAACAAACACATGCCCACCCAAAGTACAGACTTAATGTTTTATAATTCACTAATTTTTCATTGGCGAAGAATATTCCTAAAAGAAATACAATTGTGAAGTATCCACTCTATTTTAAGTGTATTGAATTGTACATTGCAAGTGGTCATGGTTTGAAATTATTTTTACTTTGATAGATAGCCTTAGAGTGGTTTTCTTTACCTTTATTCATTAAATATATTTATATCCATCTGAAGAGATAAGAGTTAGAAGATTTGAATACTTAATACATTTTAAGGGAAATACTTGTTTAAACAAGGATTTGAATAACTGATTTAAATTAATAAGAGGCACTCATTCACTCATAAAGCTTCACATCTCACTTTTAAGATGTTTTCAATAAAATACAGAAAGGCCACCAGCCAAGAAAATCGGCCTACTTATTCTGGTTTGTTTTCATTCAGATTATAGTTAGAAGAGATTCAGTGAATGCTTTTTGAATTATAACATGATTGTATTACTTCAGGCTGATTTAAAAATTTATTTTTTTATTTATTTTTAATTTTTTTATTTTACAGAGAATAAAAACAAAGCAAACCAAAACAAAACAGAACAAAGTAAAGCAGAGTAAAACAGTGCAAAAAACAGTGCAAATAAAAAACAGTGCAAATAAGATTTCAGAAAAAGATAGCAGGAAATCAACAGGAGACTGAGGCAGGAAGTATCTTGGGAGTATACTGGCTACCATAATGTCTTGTTTTCTTCAAAACAGTTGTCCATACCTTCACACACAATGTTAATAGAGTAAAAATAGTATAAAATCAGTCAAAACACAAGAATGAGAGCCTTAACGGCTTTCAAGACCAGCCACTAGGAAATCAATAATGGCTACCATAATGTCTCTTGTTTTCTTCAAAGTAGCTATCCATATCTTCATATATATTGGAATCAAATAATTGAAAACAGACTTAAACCAATGAAAACCAAGAATAAAAGCATTATTATTGTCTCGTTTTCTTCAGTGTAGCTGTTTATACTATGACCAATACTAAAATCAATTCTTGTAAACTCTTAAGGTGGAATTCTAGGCATATATAAACATATACATGTACATCTACACTTTCTGCATCAGAGGAAAAAACAACAAATAAATAATTATTATATAAGAGCCCAAACAGTAACAATGTAGACTTTCAAAACAAGGTGGTAGTAACATAACAATTGTTGGTTTTTTGCAGTTATCTGCAAAATTGCTACACGAATTACCAGATACAGTCATGCAAAATTGATTTGGATGTTATCTGTTTTGTTCTAAGAACTAACAGAAATGGTAGTGCAATCATCTTAGTAATGTTAAGAGTGTACATATGAATTTATGTCTTACTTCCTTTCTCTGCCTTCTTTTCTCTTTTCCCTGAGTTATTTTTTCCCTCTTTGAGCAGTTTATTACCCTTTCACCATATTTATTGAAGATTTTGTATCTTATTTTCTCTTTCAGTTTCTTATACTTAATACTGTATAAGCCAATATGGTATTTACACATGTGAGTTTGATTTATTTCACTTATAAGTATGTTCTCAAGTCTCATCCATTTACATAAAAGCCTCAATGTGGTTTTTCTTTATAGCTGAGAGGTATTCCATTGTATAAAAATGTCACATCTTTTGTTATCCATTCCTCCGTTAATGGGCATTTGGGTTGTTTCTAAGATTTAGTTATAACAAATTGTGCTGCTATAAACATGGGTGCACAAATACAATGTGATTTGATGTTTTTAGTTCTTCTGGGAATTTGCCCAAAAGTGGAATGGCTGGGTCAAATAGGACCTCCAATTCTAACTTTTTGAGGAATCTCCACATTGATTTCCACATGGTTGCATCAGTCTACACTCCTATCAGCAATGCAGAAGAGTTCCTTGTTCTCTAGCATTTTGTTATTGGTGGTTATCTTGACCCTGGCTATTCTTTCTGGAGTGAAATGGAATCTCAGTGTGGTTTTAAGTTACATTTCTCTAATGACCAATGATGCTGAACATTTTTTTTTTAAATTTTATTTAAAGAGGAAAAAAGAAAAAAACAAAAAGGGTACAAGTTATACAGAATTTCAGAAAAAATAAACAGGAATTCACTAGTTAATTGCATATTGTCATCT